TGTAGGGAACTCAACAAGCAATGAATGAATTTTATTGAAACTCTGAAAACTAATCAAAGTTTATTGCAACCTGGAGAATGCTTAATCAGTTTAAAAAAATAGCTGAATTTCTGTAAGGGAGCTTTGTGGTGTTTTAACTTAACACTGACTCCATCCTCCACTCCCTAGGTCAGTGGCAACCTTGAAGACAACAGTCTGCCTTCTGGGTATAATTCCTACTATCAAAGGAAGCAGAACGGACCTTTTTCTCAGAGAATTATGGTTGTTTATTTTGACCCGTCTGGTTACTCTCTGAAGAACCAGCTCAAAGGGCTTGCCTATATTTTGGTTAATTCGAAACTCTCCCAGCACTGACACAGCTACACTGTGGGGGCATTGTTGAAAATATTTAAAGGCAAATGTATTAGCCAGTGCTGCCAGGATCAAGGGATAACAACTAGGGCAAACAAGAGACAAACTAGAAAGCTTGGGAGGAAAGGCTGGGGAATGAGAAACTTTGGGAAATAAATGCTTTTAAAAGCTTCCACATATTCCTGGGAATCTCAGAGGCTCCACACATGCCCAAAGTTGGGCACCTGCTCAGAAAAGTGAGAAGACCCTAAGCTCTCTTGTGTGTCTGACTTTCAGGTTCTGCACAAACAGAAAGTGAAAGCTAAGGCAGAGTTGTAAACTGCCTGACTGAATGTTGAAGGTATGCCCCAATACACACACAGAACCTATTTGCAAATACTTGCTTTTTGTTTTGCTTTTGGTTTCAGGTGTTTAGGATAATCTATGTCAAATCACTGAATAACCATTAAACTAAAGGAGCAGACACTTCACTGGTCACTTATGACAGAATACAAACTTTACAAAATCAGTTCAGAAAAGTCACAACTGTAAGCAGCAACAGTAATCTCTGGAGAGGAGGGGAAATCTGATTTCTGGAGTTGCTAGATTATAATATTTAAAATTTCCAGTTTTCAACAAAAAAATTATAAGACATGCAAAGAAGCAAAATATGCCCTACACAGAGAAAAGAAGAAAATGAATAAAAACTGTCCTTGAGGAAGCCCAGACTTTGGACTTTCTAGGCAAAAATTTTAAATCAACTATTTAAAATATGCTCAAAGAAGTAAAGGAAACCATGTATAAAGAACTAAAGGAGGGCTTCCCTGGTGGCGCAGTGGTTGAGAGTCCGCCTGCCAATGCAGGGGACACGGGTTCGTGTCCCGGTCCGGGAAGATCCCACGTGCTGCGAAGCGGCTGGGCCCGCGGGCCATGGCCGCAGAGCCTGCGTGTCTGGTGCTCTGCAACGGGAGAGGCCACAACAGTGAGAGGCCCGCCTACTGCAAAAACAAACAAACAAACAAAAAAAACAAACAAAAAAGAACTAAAGGAAACCATGAAAATTATGTCTCACCATTAGAGAATGTCAGTAAAGAGGTAGAAATAATAAAAAAGAACTAAATAGAAATTCTAGAGATGAAAAGTATAACTGAAATTTAAAATTTCATGTAGAGATTCAGCAGCAGATATGAACAGGCAGAAGAAGGAATCAGCAAACTTGATTTAGGTAAAAAATAAAAGAATGAAGGAAAGTGAACAGAGCCTAAGAAACCTGTGGGACACTGTTAAACATACTTACCTGTGCATAATGGAGTCCCAGAAAGAGAGGAGAGAGAGCAAAAGGGGCAAAAAGACTATTTAAAGAAATAATGGCTGAGGGGCTTCCCTGGTGGCGCAGTGGTTGGGAGTCCGCTTGCTGATGCTAGGGGACGTGGGTTCGTGCCCCGTTCCGGGAGGATCCCACGTGCCGCGGAGCGGCTGGACCCGCGAGCTATGGCCGCTGGGTCTGTGCGTCCGGAGCCTGTGCTCCGTGACGGGAAAGGCCACGACAGTGAAAAAAGAGGCTGAGAAATAGGCTGGGTTTAAACAAAAAAAAAAAAAAAAAAAAAAAAAAAAAAAAGAAATAATGGCTGAAAAGATCCCAAATTTGATGAAAGATACAGATCTACACATCCAGGAAGCTCAATGTACCCCAAGTATGACATACTCAAAAGACATCCACAATGAGACACATTATAATCAAGCTTTTGAAAGCCAAAGATAAGGAGAGATGCCTGAAAGCAGCAAGAGAGAAGCAACTCATCACATATAAGTGATCCTGAAAAAGATTAAGAGCTGCTTTCTCTTCAGAAACCATGTAAGGCAGTGGGGTAACATAGTCAAAGTTCAAAAAAACAAAACAAAACAAAACTGTCAGCTTAGGATTCTATGCCCAGCAACCCTGTCCTTCAAAATAAATGGAGAAATTAAGACATTCCCAGATAAACAAAAACAGTTCAGTGCTAGTAGACTTGTCCTACAAGAAATGCTGCAAGGAGTCCTTCAGGCTGAAATAATGTCTTGACTCCACACAAAACAATAAAGAATGCCAGTAAAAGTAACTACATAGGCAAATTAAAAAGTCAGTATTAATTTTGGGGGGGTTTGCAGTTCTTTTTATCTATATGATTTAAAAGACAGCTATGTAAAACAGTCGCTATAAATCTGTGTTGATGGACATACAGTTTATAAAGTTGCAATTTGTGACCATAACAACATAAGCAATAAGGGGCAAATAGGGGCAAAGTTTTGTATACTATTGAAACTAAATTAGTATTAATTCATACTAGATTGTTATAAGTTAAGATGTTAAATGTAATTGTTAACTGTCAACCACTAAGAAATAACAAAAAAAATGTGATAAGTAATAAGGGAATCAAAATGGTATACTAGAAGATATGTATCTAACACAAAAGAAGACAATAATGCAGAATTGAGAGCAAAAAAAAGGGCATATAGAAAACAAATAGGAAAATGGCAGAAACAATTCCTTATCACTAAGTACTTAAACAGGTAACTAGATTAAACTCTTCAATTAAAAGGCATTGATTAGCAGAATAAATAGGAAAAAAAGGTAGTCCAACTATATGCTGTCTACAAGAGATTCTTTAGATACAAAGACACAAAGAAGTACAAAGTAAAAGTGTGTAAAAAAGTATTCCATGCAAATAGTAATCAAAGAGAGCTGGAGTGGCTAAACTGGTATCAGACAAAATAGACTTTAAGACAAAAAGTTTTTACAAGACAAAGAATGACATATAATGATAAAAGAGGTTCAATTCATCAAGAAGATATAACAGTTATAAACTTATATATGTCTAATAACAAAACTTATGAAGCAAAAACTGACAGACTTGAAGGGAGAAATAAAGAATTCAACAATAATAGTTGGAGACATCAACACCTTATTTTCAATATTGGATAGAATAACTAGAAAAAAGATACACAAGGAAATAGAAGACTTGAACAACACTATAAACCAACTGGACCTAACACATCTATATAACACGCTACCTAACAACATCTCAAGTGTACATGGGACATTCTCCAGGATACATCATAATTAGGATATAAACAATTGTCAATAAACTTAAAATGATTGAAATCATACGAACTATCCACCCTCACTACAGTGGAATGAAATTAGAAGTCAATAACAGAAGGAAATCTCAAATTTCACAATATTGGAATATGTGGAAATTAAACAACCAACTGTTTTTTTTTTTTTTTTTTTTTTTTTTGCGGTACGTGGGCCTCTCACTGTTGTGGCCTCTCCTGTTGCGGAGCACAGGCTCCAGACGTGCAGGCTTAGCGGCCATGGCTCACGGCCCAGCCACTCCGTGGCATGTGGGATCTTCCTGGACCGGGGCACAAACCCATGTCCCCTGCATCGGCAGATGGACTCTCAACCACTGCGCCACCAGGGAAGCCCAAACAACCAACTCTTAAACAACCAATGAGCCAAAGAAGAAATCACAAGATAAATTAGAAAAATACTTTGGAATGAGTGAAAATGAAGACATAACATACCAAAAAATTATGGAATACAGCAGAAGCTGTGAGTGATCAGAGGAAAATTTATAGCTGTAAATACCTTCATTAATAAAGAAGAAAGATCTCAAATCAAAAATCTCACTTTATACCTTAAGGAACTAGAAATGAAGAGCCAACTAAACTCCAAGCAGAAGGGAGGGAGTAATAAAGGTTAGAGTGATATAAACAAAACAGAATAGAAAAACAATAGAATCAATGAAACTAAAGGTTGGGTATTTTTAAAAAGATGAACAAACTTGATGGACTTTAAGCTAGCCTGACCAATTAAAAAAGAGAAACTCAGCTTACTTAAAATCAAGAATGAAACTGGGGACATTACTACTGACCTTAAAGAAATTAAAAATACTATAATAGAATACTATGAACAATTGTATGCCAAATTAGCTAACTTGGATGAAATGGCCAAACTCCCAGAAATGCACAAACTACCAAAACTGACTCAAGAAGAAATAGAAAATCTGAATAGACCTACAACAAATGAAGAGATTAAATCAGTAATTTTAAAAATTCCAAACAAAGAAAGCTCAGGACTAGGTTGCTTCACCACTGAATTCTACCAAATTCTTAAAGAAGAATTAACACCAGTCCTTCTCAAACTCTTCAAAGAAATAGAAGAGGAAGTAATTCTTCCTAACTTATTCTGTGAGGCCAGTATTACTCTCATAGCAAAACCAAAGAAAGACATCATAAGAAACAAAAACTACAGACTAATATTCACTATGAATATAGATGCAGAAATTCTCAACGAAATACTAGCACACCAAATCCAGCAGCAGATTAAAAGGATTATACACCATGACCAAGTGGGATTATCCCAGGAAGGCAAGGGTGGTTTAACATGTGAAAATCAGTCAGTGTAAGACATCACATTAACAGAACAAAGGACAAGACCCACACAATCATCTCTGTTGATGCTGAAAAAGTATTTGACAAAATCCAACACCATTTTATTATAAAAACAAATAAGGAATGTAAAGAAACTTCCTCAAACTGATAAAGGACGTCTATGAAAAACCTACAACTAACTATGTACTTAAGACTGAAAGTCTGAAAGCTTGCTAAGATCAAGAATAAGGCAGGAAAGTCTGCTCTTGCCACTTCTATTGATTATTTTTTAAATTAATTAATTATTTATTTTTGGCTGCATTGGGTCTTTGTTGCTATGTGCGGGCTTTCTCTAGTTATGGTGAGCAGGGGCAACTCTTCGTTGTGGTGTGTGGGCTTCTCATTGCAGTGGCTTCTCTTGTTGCAGAGCACAGGCTCTAGGCATGTGGACTTCGGTAGTTGCGGCTTGTGGGTTCTAGAGCACAGGCTCAGTAGTTGTGGCGCATGGGCTTAGTTGCTCTGCGGCATGTGGGATCTTCCCGGACCAGGGCTCGAACCCCTGTCCCCTGCATTGGCAGGCGGATTCTTAACCACTGCACTACCAGGGAATCCCACCACCTCTATTTAACATTGCACTGGAGGTGCTAGCCAATGCACTTAGGCAAGAAGAGGGGGAAAATGGCTTTCGTATGGGAGAGGACTAAGTAAAACTATCTTTCTTCACAGATGACATGATCTTATATATAGAAAACCTTAAAGAATCCACCAAAAAACTATTGGAGCTAATAAAAGAGTTCAGCAAAGTTGCAGGAGACAAGATCAACTTAAAATCAGTTGTTTTTTTATATAGTAGCAATGAACAATCTGAAAAGGAAATTAAGAAAACAGTTCCATTTACAATAACGTCAAAAATGTTAAAACACTTAAGAATAAATTTAACCAAAGAGGTGCAAGACTTGTACACTGAAAACTACAAAGTATTATCAAAAGAAGTTAAAGAAGACCAAAATAAAGGAAAGACATCTTGTGTTCATGGATTGGAAGACTTATTATTGTTAAGATATCAGTACTTCTCAAGTTGATCTACAAATTCTGTGCAGTCTCCATCAAAATTTCAATTGCCCATTTTGCAGAAATGAACAAACTGATCCTAAAATATGGAATTACAGGAGACCCCCAGTAGCCAAAACAATCTTGAAAAAGAACAAAGTAGGAGGACTCACTTCCTGATTTCAAAACTTACTGTGAACCTACAGTAATAATTAGAATTGCCATCTAGATTAATGGAATCAAATTTAGAGTTCAGAAAAAAACCCATACATCTGTGGTCAATTGATTTTTGACAAGGGTGCCAAGACCATTCAGTGGGGGAAACAATAGTCTTTTCAACAAATGGTAACAGCTAGATAACCACATACAAAAGTATGAAGTTAGACCCTTAACATACACCATACACAATTAATTAAAAATTAAAGACCTAAATTTAAGAGCTAAAACTATAAAACTCTTAGAAGAAAACATAGGAGCAGATTTTCAAGACTGTCAATTTGGCAGTGGTTTCTTAGACATGACACCAAAAGCACAAGCAAAAAAGGAAAATTAGATAGACTTCATCAAAATTAAAAGCTTTTGTGCATCAAAGGATACTGTCAAGAAAGTGAAAACGCAACCCACAGGATGAGAGAAAATATTTGCACGTCATATTTGATAAGGGTCTAGTTATCCAGAATGTATAAAGAACTCTTACAACTCAATGACAGAAAGACAACCAATTAAAAATGGGCAAAGGACTTAAAATGTCTGTTTCTTCAAGGAAGACATACAAATGACCGAAATACATGAAAAGATGCTCAGTGTCATTCATCATAAGGGAAATGAAAATGAAAAACACAATGAGATACCCCTTCACAAGAGGCGTTTAACAGCAATAACAGAACAAATAAAAACAAAAAATAGAAAGTGTTTATGAACAACCAAAATTTATTACCAAGTTTAAGCTCTTAATGCTCACCACACAACAGGCCAATAATCAAGAGATGAGTTGTTGGGCAAAGAATAACGACTTTATTCAGAAAGCCAGCAAACTAAGAAGATGGTGGGCTCATGCCCCAAAGGACCATCTTGCCTGAGTTGGAATTCAGTCTTCTTTTATACTAAAAGGGGAGGGAGTAAAGTCAAACATTTTCTGGTTCCCATCAGCCTCCAGAGGGGATGTGTTAATTTCTTCCTCCCTGCAGTCACTCACAGGTGGGCCTGGTCAAGATGTTTCCTGTGAGCTAAACAGAAGTATATTAGCTTAATGCTCATTACCTGGGAGGCAGGGCTCTGAGAGATGGGTCATTATATATAATTTAAGCTTATAGGCAACATCCATATAGTGATTAATTTGTAATAGAATACAAATGTTCTTCCCTATTACAGGGAAAGATACGGAAATGTGATGTAAAGGGACATACCCCAAAGAAAATACTTGTCTTACCATTTTACTTAAAATTGCCTTGCTTGCTTTCTTTATAGCTGTGATACTGCATATGTTCTACTGGCTGAGGAAGAAGCAACAACTATTGTAGATGCTGAAAGGTTATTTAAACAGGCACTCAAGGCAGGAGAAACAATTTACAGGCGGTCACAACAGTGCCAGCACCAAAGTCCTCAGCATGAAGCTCAACTGAGTAAGTGAATTTGAACTAATTTTCCCCTGTCTTTTAGTTCCTGCAACTGCCTGTTTTATGTGTAAAACACAAAACAAAATTTTTAAAAAATGCAATACTTAAAAGTTAGCTACTTTTCATAAGAGATAACAAATCTATTCAAGTCAGCAAGACAGAAATGTATATTAGCTAGAGAATGCTTGTGGAAGGGAACAGATCTGTTCTGGTTATTGAGAGATGTGCTGCTCTGAAACTTAACAATAATTTATTTCATGTGAGAATTGGGCTGGTCATTGGAGAAACACAACTCAAATGTATTCAAGATTCAAGAGAACTTTCTAGTGATGATAAGCAGCTATTACCCTTATCCTCACCCTTACCCAAGCAATAGTAGAGGTATATCATTTGGTTTGCTCTTCAGACAGTATATATCTCCATATAGTGCCAGGGAGTGGCCCTTCAGCACAAAACCAGCCTTACACTTGATATTGACTATTTCTTTGGTTGTTTTTTCTCCATGATGTGTTTGAGACCATATGGGCCATAGCAGCTGAGGTCCTTTCTTTCCACTCTCAGGCATACTCTCCCAGTTGTGATCGAGACACTTTTACCAAAGATGTTAGAATCTGTAATGCTGCTGCTTCCTGCTATTTTGTGTGGCCAGAGGGCTTTAGTTTCATGATTTTGGCAGATAATGGGCAATAAATTGAAATATGTTTATATAATGCATTATCTCCTGGAGTTAAGTTCTAAATCTTTTGTTTGTGTAAATTAAAATTAGGATAATGTTTTCTCTCTAAACTAAATATTGATGTATATAGTATGTTTCATTAATGTGTGTTGTTATAACACACAACTGTGGGAATATGCAATTTTGCAGTCTGGAACTAATGAAACTACCTCTGTAAAAATGTCATGCCATTTGTCCTTGTATAATCTCAGATATAGTTATGAGATAGTTCCAGAGATATTTGTTAGCCCTTTCTAGAAGTAGTTTTGTAGTTTGTTAGTTACTTGCTGTTGACCAAAAATTTACGCTAGCATGGAAATTTTGTTTTGAATATCTTTTGTTTGTCAGCTAAGATAATAGAGAATATTAAAATAGTAGATTGTTTATGTAGAAACTTAATAATGTTATTTTTTCCTATTAATGTATGTCTTTTATTTTAATAGTAAAATCTACTTGCCAAGTATACACAAATTACTTTATATATACTGTACTCAGATTACTTAATGTTAGAGGCAAAAGTAATTCTCTCTCTCTATATTTTATAAGCTTTTTATATAAAAAACTTCAAACATCTATAAAAATAGAGCAGTATAATGAACCTTCATTCATTGTTCATCACCCAAATTCAACTATTATTAATATTCTTCCATTCTGACACAATTTAATTTTAATTGAACCTCCCAAGGTAAGCAAATAAAATTAACAGGTAATATGTTAATGAAGTAGCAGGTCATAATATAAAAGTGATAGTTTTGTGTCATTTGTTGTTTTTCTAAATAGGGAGAGATACCAATGTACTGGTGTATATTAAAAGAAGACTGGCAATGTGTGCAAGAAAATTAGGAAGAATAAGAGAAGCAGTAAAAATAATGAGAGATGTAAGTAAATTTGATGACTCAACCTTTATCTTTATTCCTTCAAAAACAAAATGTTTTAAGTTGCCAGTTAAGTTAATGCAGAATCACTATGTGTGTTTTTTTTTTTTAACATTGATTGATTGATTGATTGATTGTCCGTGCTGCCCAGCTTGCGGGATCTTAGTTCCTTGACCAGGGATCGAACCCTGGGCCCCAGCAGAGAAAGTACCAAATCCTAACTACTGGACCGCCAAGAAATTCCCCAGAATCACTGTTTTTTTAATTGATGGTTTTATAACAAGATATTTATTTAATATACATAGATTTCTTAGAGGTTGAGTCTCCACAGTTTTAAGAAACAAAAGAATTTCTACCTCAGTGAATTTGATTCAGCTCTGAGTTCCTTTTGTATAATTTTAATCTTTTTTCTTTTTAATATACAGTTGATGAAAGAATTTCCCCCTCTTACCATGTTGAACATCCATGAAAATCTCCTAGAATCACTTTTAGAATTACAGGCCTATGCAGATGTCCAAGCAGTTCTAGCAAAATATGATGGTGAGTGATAATTCTCTTAGTTAGTAGCATGGTTAAAGTATTTTTTTTCTATTAAGTAATCATAAATGTGATCCTACTCTGGTATTTCTGTGATCTTCTCTTTGCATTCTTACCAGTCAATATCTAGTATCTGTGGATATAAGTTGCTATTAAGTATCTTCTTTATCAGTACTTTTGGTAGCAAAAGTCTGCAAGGAGGAACTTTCCTTCTCTCAAGATGTATTCATTTTTTTACTGAGTGCCTAATGTGAGTGAGGCGCTTGGAATACAGTGGTGAATAAGAAGACATGGACTTAGCCCTTGTAGAATTTACCGTTTAGTGGAACATACAGACAAATGAATAGTAGTTATATTGAGGCATAGTGTGTTAGGTGAGGTAATAGGAAAGTGTGGGGTGCTATGCACTTCATTTGTTTTGGAGTGGCAGGGAAGGCTAACAAGTTGCTTAGAGTATATATAAGAATAACTCAGAATAACATTTTATGATACTTTTTAGTTACAAAGTATAATTTATAATCTCATCTGATCCTTATAACAATCTTGTGAGGTGGTAGGACAAGTACAATATTTTTACTGTTTCCGGTTAGTAAATAAGAAAACTGGAGTAGAAGAAGGTTAAGTGATTGGGTAAGGTCTTCTAGCCAGTTAAGTGTCAAGCTTGAACTTAAATTTAGGTATTCCATTTGTTTGTTTACTAGTCTCCCAACAGTAAGTAAGAAGTCAATATATGTTGGCTATTATTATTATTATACGATAACAGTTCCAGTTTACCACAAATGGAGTTGGGAGAATTTTTGAGAAGCATAGCCTTTCTCCTCATTCTGAGTGAGGCATCAGCTTTTAACCCCAAGCTGGAAACATCCTAACTAGCATAATACTTCTGGTCATTTCTTTCACTGTATTAGAACACATTTAAGTCACTTATTCACACTCTCCTGTTGTAAGCTCCTACCCATTAGCTTGGGAATCTCCATGACTTGGAAAGTTTGAAATTTGTTACACTTGGAAAGAGAAGTTTATTTCTTTTAAACATCTGGAATTCTTAGGAAGTGCTTTAGAGTAGTATAGGCTCATGGAGAAATTTGTGAGAAATTCTTTCCATATGTTACTTATCAGATGCATGGCCTGCTTATGATACTTATGATGAACAAGCTTAGGGACTGAATATGAAAAATCAGATGGGACCTATTCATTAAAAATAAAATAAAACTAGCAACTTGGATATGCTTCTGTGTTTTCAGTTATTTTTATGAGTCCCCAGTTTTTACCCTTTTAGAATCCTGAAAAAGTTAAAAGCAAGTTTACTTCTTTAGTTCTCCATTTGCTGGTATAACTCTGGAATCTGGAAAGAGAGTTCTGTAGTCTTACTCTGCCAATAACATTATTTTGGTCATTCTTTAAGAAAGAACTCATTAATTTCATTGTAGTTCTCAATTTCTTTTTATTTTATAAAAAATCATCATTTAAGGGCTTCCCCGGTGGCGCAGTGCTTGAGAGTCCGCCTGCCGATGCAGGAGATGCGGGTTCGTGCCCCGTTTCGGGAAGATCCCACATGCCGCGGAGCGGCTGGGCCCGTGAGCCATGGCCACTGAGCCTGCGCGTCCGGAGCCTGTGCTCCGCAAATGGGAGAGGCCACAACAGTGAGAGGCCTGCATAACGCAAGAAAAAAAAAAAAAAAAAAAATCATCATTTAAGAAAATGTAGAAAATGCAAAAACATTGGAAGAAGAAAAAAATGAAAACCACCCATGATTATATCACCTGGACTTAACTACTATTAATTTTTTTTAACATTTATTTATTATTTATTTAGGCTGTGCTGGGTCTTAGTCGCGGCATGTGGGATCTTCATTGTGTCACGCAGGATCTTTAGTTGTGGCATGTGGGCTTCTTAGTTGCAGCATGTGCACTCGTAGTTGCGGCAAGCTTGTGGGATCTAGTTCCCCAACCAGGGATTGAACCCAGGCCTCCTGCATTGGGAGTGCGGAGTCTTACCCACTGGGCAACCAGGGAAGTCCTGTTAATTTTTTTTTTTTAATCTTAGTTTTTCTCTGTGAATAGGTGGAGTTTTTACATAGTTCTATCTATACAATGGCTTTTTCCTTGGATAGTATTATTATAAGCAGCTTCTTATAAGCATTTGTTGAGTACTTTTTACCATTGTATGAGAGCTTTCACAGACATGGTTTAATTTAATCTCTGCTAGAAAAGTACCATTTCTCTATTTTGGGAAAACTGAGGTTAAAGAAGTTGTGCTAGTTCAAGGATGAATAGCTGGTAAATAGTAGAATCAAGATTCAGACTCAGGTTTTCCAATTATATGTCCATGTGCTTTTACTACTATATTATATCCGTTGAATTTGAACTATGAATTATTCTTATTAGAAATTGTCTTAAGATATTTTTGTGATTCTTGCCTAAATTAAAAATTATTATTATAGATATAAGCCTTCCAAAGTCAGCAGCCATCTGTTATACAGCAGCACTATTGAAGACAAGGACTGTTTCAGATAAGTAAGTAGTTATGAAAACTATAATAGTTTAGAAAGACTGCTAAACTCAATATTGTTTTTCATCCACTGACTTTAAACAATGCTTTTTATTTTCCCTACTGCCTGCTGAATAACCCTTGATCTTATGGGGCTCAGAAGCTTCTTACTATGTGTAGTGGAAAGAGCAAGGTTTTTAGAGCTAAGTAAACTTGGATTCAAATTCAAAGTCTACAGCATACCAGCTATGGAACTTTGGTCCAGTTAATCAGTTTGAGTTTCTTTGTTATCTGTAAAATGAGAATAATAATACTGTAGGGTGGTTGTGTGAGGATTATGTATGTTAAATGCCCAAAGCAATGCTAGATAGAAAGTATATCCAGTACATAGTAGCTATGATGGTAATGGTAAGATATGTGGTAGGGAAATAGGTTTCATGTTACCTGTTTTGAGATTGTAATTCTGAGTTATTCTGATTTCCTTGTATTTTTGGCTGTCCTTAATGAATTTCTCTTTATTCCACAGGTAAGTTATTCAGAAACCAACCAAATGGCAACTGCTTTCTTTCACCTTAGATTACTGTGGCTTGATATGAATTAGAATGGACTGTTCACAGTCTGTGACAGTGAAAATTTGATAAGAATGTACTTCTATTTCATGAGATCCTCTAGATGTCCCTGTGTAGCATTTCTTATTTTATTACTTTACCCAAAGTGTGCCTTTAATGGACTTCTGAAGGCTTTCTTCACCTTAACTTGAATATTTCCATTTCTTTTGCTGCCTTCCTTTATATGTTGAACCAAAGGCTTTACTTTTATGTTTAGTAGCCATTTGGCTTTGACTTTAGCCATCACCAGAAATCTCTGATTTAGGGGGCTAGATTATGATCTCAGTTAATTAATTGATTAAAATATTTATTTAAACATTTATTTCTTCATTTTGTGGTTTTCTTACAGATTTTCTCCAGAAACAGCCTCCAGAAGAGGGTTAAGCACAGCAGAAATTAATGCTGTGGAAGCAATTCATAGAGCTGTGGAATTTAATCCTCATGTTCCAAAAGTAAGAAACTTTATGATAGAAATACTACTTTTATTTAAGTTAATCAAATTGGTAACAGTGTATAGACCAAAGTTTGGGTCTCCATAATTTGAGGCAGAATTGTTTTAGTCTGCTGTATTTTGATGCTTAGTGTTTCCCCTAAAGGGGATGTTAAAAAGAATTTAGAAAGGTGGATAGGAGCAGTATTTCAGTATAGGCTTTATAATTGCTGTCAGAATAAAATTTGATGTACAATATGTTCACTTAGCTGTTCCTTTTACTATAGTTATAGAGAAGAAATAAAATGGCTTGGTCCTAATAAAAGATCATTCATATTTCAGATCATTAAATCAAATTTCCTGTTACTATAAAAGCTTTTTACATCTAGACAGATGCTTTTGAATGAGGACTGGGTAGACAAAGACTGAAGACAAATAGATTAAAATAATCAGTGTTAGGAAACAGATGTGAAAGATCCCAGAAAAACTGCTGAGTTGATGTTTATTTAGTCCCAGATGAACTGTACTCATCTCATTTGTCTTAATATTGTGCACCTTGCAGACATACAGATCATTGGTTAATCTTTGTGTGTTATAACCCAAGATGAAATTTTGGATTTTAAAAACAATGCCCGAAGTTAGGGAGTATAGAGTATTCAAGAATATGCCTTTACTTAAAAGAGTAATTGTAACTGTTGATTCCAGTATAATATGTTAGTGGAATTTGGAAACTAGTAAACATTAAAGGATTAACCTCTAAAAAATAATCTCAAAGAAATGCAAGTTGTCTGTTAGAGTAAGTAAAGACAGAGTCAAGAATATTACTGAAATCTAAGGATGAGAGTCAACAAATATTTATGCCATTCTCTTATTAAGTGAAACTGGTCCCATAAATTTCAATAACAATTTTAGTGTGAATTGTAATACATATACAGCAAAGTGTAAAAAACAGAAATGTGTATCTTAATTATTTATTATAAAGCAAATGAGTGGAAACTACCACTGAGGTCAAGAAACAACATTGTCAGCCCCCAGAAACCCACCTGCCCTTTCCCAATTACGACTTCTTCCCTCCTGCCTAAACTTAACCACCATCTGACATTAATTATGTTTATTAATTATGTTTTTCCTTCTTTTCTTATATTTTTAGTCTATACTTTTCCTTTATTGCTGGCTTTATAAAACAGGTTAAGGAATTGTCCCTCTTTTATCATTCTCTGGAATAATTTGTGTAAAAATTAGAATTATTTCTGCCTTCAGTGATTGGAAGAATTTGCTGATAAAGCTGTCTGATTTTGGATTTTTCTTTGTGAGAAGAATTTTCATTACAAATTTCATATCTTTAATAGTTTAATTACAAATTCAGTTTTTTTAACCATTCCATAACTATTCACATTTCTTGTTTCTTCTTGTGTTAGTTTTTGGTAAGTTGTATTTTTCTAGGAATTTATTACATCAAAAATTTCAAATTTATTGGCATAAAGATTTCATAAAATCCTTTTATTAGCTTGTTAATATGTGCAGAATCAGTTGTAACATCCATTTTTTAATTCATAACACTGGCTACCTTTCTTTTTGCCCCTCTATTGGATTCCTCAGGGATTTATCAATTTTATTAGTCTTTGTGAAGAACCAACCTCTGGCTTTGTTGATCTTCTCTACTGTTTGTTTTCTGGTTCATTCATTTCTGCTCTTCACAGCCTTCTTTCAACTTTCTTTGGCCCCATTTTATTTTTTTTTAATTCTTGTATCTTCTTTTTTTTAATTAATTATTTTTGGCTGCGTTGAGTCTACGTTGCTGCGTGCGGGTTTTCTCTAGTTGTGGCGAGTGGGGGCTCCTCTTCGTTGCGGTGTGCGGGCTTCTCATTGCAGTGGCTTCTCTTGTTGCAGAGCACAGGCTCTAGGTGCACGAGCTTCAGTAGTTGTGACACATGGGCTCAGTAGTTGTGGCTCGCAGGCTCTAGAGCACAGGCTCAGTAGTTGTGGCACACGGGCTTAGTTGCTCCGTGGCATGTGGGATCTTCCTGGACCAGGGCACAAACCTGTGTCTCCTGCTCTGGCAGGCGGATTCTTAACTGCTGAACTACTGGGGAAGTCCCTCTTGTATCTTCTTATAAGGTATTTAACTCATTAATTTTTAATGTTTCTTCTAACATATCCATTTAAGTCCATAAACCTCTCTCTAAGTACAATTTTAACTGCATACTATAGCATTATTTTTTTTATTATTTAGTTCAAAAATATTTTCTAATTTCCACTATGACTTCCTCTTTGATTTAGAGGTATATTTATTCCATTTAGATGTGTATTTCTTAATTTTAAAGCATATGAAAATTATCTTTTTATCAATGATTTCTGACGTAATTGCATTGTGGCCAGAGAACATACACTGTGTGATTTCACCCCTTTGAAACATTTTTTAATTCTTGATTTCTATTTATTTTTCACATCTCTCGTATTATTTATAGGTTTGAATTATTCTCTGCCACAAGTTTAAATATAATCTGTTATCTCTTTGAAAATAAAGTAGTTATCTTAAAGTCTTTCTCTGATAATCCCAATATCTAGAACGTCCCTGTTTCTGTTTTTAACATCTGTTTTTTTCTGCTGCATCATGTTCATATCGTCTTTTCTCTTATGCCTGATTTTCTTTCACTATGTGCCAGATATTTTATTTGAAAATTTGTAGAAATAGCTTAAAATCTCAGATAATATTATATTCCTTCATAGAGGATTTTCCTTGCCCTTAGATGCCTGGAAGAAGCATTGGTAGGACAGGATCACCTTAATTCAGTTTCAGGGATTGAAATTTTCTGGTCTACCCAGATGACTTGAAACTGGACTGCAGTCCATGAAAGTTTCAGTTTATTTCTGGTTCACCCTTATTCCTAAGATGCAGCTTTCAGAGTCCCAGTCCAATCCTGAGGGTTTTGCCAGGCTCTCACTCTTGACAAGACTTGGACTTCAACTTTTGTTCCAGTAGCCTTATGAAACTGGCAAAAATACCGAACAGCCTCCTAGCTATCTTTTCCAGAATTGTCAAATGTCCCTATAGTGAAAGATGCCCCAGGTGTGGCTTACTTCTCTGCTTTCTGCCATCTTTAGACTGTGGCCTGGTAATTCTCTACCCTTTGTTAATTCTCTGATGTATTTGATTCAATTTTTTAAAATCGACAGCTTTTCTAGCTGTCTGGGAGGGTTCATCTGAGTTACCCAGTCTAAAAATACTTGTATATGAAATGCTCTGCTCTCTCTTGCTGCAGAGTGGTTAAGAGAATGGATTCAGCAACTTAACTGCCTACATTTGAATTCTGGCTCCACTACTTCCTAGCTGTATTACCTTGGGCAAGTTACTTAACTTCTCTAGACTTGAGTTTCCTCATGTGTAAGCTGGGGATAATATTCCCTACCTCTTAGAGTTGTTATTAAGATTAAATGAGTGCATATCTTTAAAGTGCTTAGAAGGGTACCTAACACCTAGTAAGCTTTACAGAAGTGGTTGTTATTGTTATTACCCAGGATGGGGTGGAAATCTGTTCCTTGTGTGAGAAGATAAGCAGCAGTTATTAATCCGAACTATTCAAATTAAATACACCATTGATATCTAAAAAATTTATTTAATTCCCACTCAAAATAAAAAAATAGGGACGCCGACTTGGCTGCGCAGGTAGTGAGAGTGCTCGGGTATTGCGGAAGCGTATGGACTTCGCGACGGTCCCGCGGTGACAAAAGAATTTTGCATGGTTAAAGATAAAGAATAATGCTTATTTTAGATTATTATTTTATCAGAGATTATATAAAAAGTTGTATAAGTTATACATAATATATATATAATATATAAATGAATATATAAATATATTGTTATATATGAAAGTTATCCCATGAAGTCTTTAAACTCATTTTATATGTAAAAAAGTTCTTATTCCTCTCATTGAAAAAGGATGGATGCTATTTGTATTGCTGTATATTTATTTAAGAAAAAAAAAGATTTAGAACATACTGTAATTAAAATACAGACTGAACTTTTATTCTATTACATAATGAAAAAAAGATAATACTTTATACTCTAAAATTTGATTTTCATAATTTGAGCTTAATAAATCAGCTGGCTTATTTTTTGTGATGATATGTCTTATGTTTAAAAGCTAAGAAAGAAGAGAAAATATTCTATAGTACCACTTGTAAAGCTTCTCCATAGTGACATAAATCCCAGGGATATGTTTGCCTACCCCAGGAGTTTTAGAATTACCAAATGGGTCATGCTGAGTTACCAGTATGACAGCCAAGGCTCTTCTGAAGACTTTGCTCCATCTCTGGGTCCTTCACTCTATTTACATCAACTAATTTGGAGTTCCCCAGACCCCATGCCCTTGAATATGCCATTTTTTTCTTCCTGTAGGGTCCCTTGGATTCCCCTTTTTGTAAATGTAGACATTTCCATTCATTCTTTACACCCCAGAGTAGGAATCATCCATTCTCTGAAGCCTTCACTGAAACACTTTTTCCTTTTGCCATCCCTCTATTCCATGTATGACACATTATTGTCACCATATGCCTTTTCCTTCTGAACTCTTAATCTCTAGGTAGTAGGAAACTCAATACCAAACATAGTATGGGGCAATACACATTTACGAATAAATTCATCAATGAAATGAAAAGTTAATTTAGGAAAATAACTAAACCAACTGTAAAATGGAACAGGTACAGGTGAAAATTTTCTCAACACGACATGGCTTTTTATGTAATGTTATACAGTTACTTTCTCCTTTAAGTATGTTTTTGGGGCGGGGGGTGGAGAGGACATCCAAAAGATGTTATACGAACTTCAGGTATTGTGACTGAGTCTACAGTGGTGCAGAGTAATCTGGCATAATGTTAATGTGACAATCCAAAATTTTACGTTTCCAAAATCTCTTAAGGAGTGGGATGATGCTCTTAAAACTGTGTCTTTCTCCCTATACATTCAATTGTATCTATGTCACATATTGCTAGCTGTCCACTAAAGACTTTCTCCTCCCTCCT